AGGTGCGGGGGCATCACGCCCACCAGCTCCACCCACTGCTCGGCGCCACGCCCGGGCCCCGGCCGAGCGCGCTGGCCCCGGAGCCGCCGCCGCTCCCGCCCGCGTGCAGGGGCGAGGTCCGGCAGCTAGGCAGCCCCCAGCCGCCGCCGCCCCATTACGAGCCGGGCGCCGAGCAGTGGGTGGAGCTGGTGGGCGTGATGCCCCCGCACCTGCTCCTGCCGCAGCAGAAAGTGGTCTTCGAGCCACTGCCCGGGCTCCCGGCCCGAGCCAGCCCCGACCAGAGGGTCAGGATCCAGAGAGTCCCCCAGGTGCTAGTGTTCGGCACGGCCGCCACGGCCCTCAAAGTAGGTGGCCGACGCACGGGCGGGGGGCATCGGGCGGGCGGGGGCGGGATCCGCCGGCCCCGGCCGGCGCCCGGCCCCAGGCTGCCCGCCTGGCCCTGCTGGCCCTGAAGACCCCACCTCCGCCCGGCCAGTGTGGGGACCCACCTCCGACCTCACCCCCACCCCCCACCCCCACCCCCAAGACTGGCGGTCCCAGGTCCCAGCCTCCACTCCCAACAGACGGGCGGGGGATGGGGGTGGGGAATTCAGGCCCCGCCCCCCAAACCTTGTCAGTAATTCCAGGTTGTGTCCCGCCAACCGGAGCCCCACCCCTGGCCTCTGGCTCCTCCCCTGACATCCTGTACTTAGCTTCCAGGCCCCGCCCCTACAGACGGGGATCCTGCCCTTGATGCAGGCTCCACCCCTGAGGCCCTGTTTGTGTGTGGTTTTCAGGCTCCAGCTTTGGCTTTAGCTCTAGTGACAGCCTTGTCCCAGTGCTTGGCTCTACTTGTGGGGTCCAGCTTTCACGCTCAGAGTAGGACCCCGGGGTCTCCTCAGCCCGCCTCACGTCAGGCCCCATCCTTGCCGTCCGTAGCCTAAGCACAGAGTCCTGGCTTCTGACACAGCTCCACCCGATTCCCAGCCCTGACCAAGGCCACAACCCCTGGGCCTCTGACCCCTGGCCCTGTCCAGGATGTGTTCAGAAAGTCCAGAAATGCAGCCTCCCCGCCGGGGAGCCAGGTGTCCTTGCGAGCTTGGACAGCTACCAGCCCTTTAGAGAAAGAGACAGAGGCAGAGGAACCGCCCCACCCCTGACCTCCTGTGTGCCCTTCCTCCCACACCAGGTGCAGCAGCTCCAGCAGGTGCCCGTCCCACACGTGTACTCCAGCCAAGTGCAGTATGTGGAGGGTGGTGACGCCAGCTACACGGCCAGTGCCATGTGAGTGGGCGCGGGGGTGGGCGGGGCCTAGGTCGGCTCAGGACCCTGCTGGGACTTGAGGCCTGAGAGTCCCTGCCCCTAGCCGACCAGCCAGCCTTCAAGGCCTCAGGTGACAGGTGATAGGTGCTTCCCCAGGATAACCAGCAGCCATCAGGCAGGGGCCAAGCAGAGGGGGCCCTCGCAGGTTGGGAAAGGCATCCCAGTAAAACTTAAGACCTTGGGGTCAGATGGGCCTGGTTTTTAGAAAAGAAAAAAAGAAAATTTAATTTTTATAAGACCAACTTTCTGAATTAGTAGGGAATGTTAAAGAAAAAGAAATCTTCCCTGTTGACCCCCAAGCTTGCTCCAAAGGCAGTGCTGTGACCAGTTTCTTTGTTTCCTCCTAGAGACACCCTGAGAATAGAAACTAGCCCCTTTTTTGTTCAGAAACAGGCAGAATGTTCGGTCCTTTATTTCTTCCCAGTTGTGTGTCTCAAAGCTCTTCCCTGTTTCTCTGACCGGGTCCCAGTCACCCTGTTTAACGGCTGCATAATACTCCACGGTGCAGACATAGCGTGAACGATGTAGCCCGCCCGGCCGACACTTGGGGGCCCTCCTCTCCCTGCTGTCTCGTGCCCTGCAGCATTATCAGCACCTGCCATGTCAGGCAGGTGCCATGCCCAAGGCCTGCCCGAGCCTCCGCTCTGGCTCACTGTTGTCCGGGAGACCCCTCACACCACCTTCGCTCTCTCCTCCTTCACAGTAATAGTTCCAGGATCACGGTGATTGTCGATTTAATTGTCGGAAGCTTCATTCGGTTTTCTTTGCATTGTGTCTGACCTTTTTTCTTACATCCCCCACCCACCTGTCCCATAAGGGCGTGATGCCGGGGATTAGCTCATAGAGCAACTC